TATACACATACGATATTATATATAATATATATAAATAAATATTGTATATGCATGTAAAGTACATTTTTTATATATATATATATATTTATTTTTTTTTTTATTTTTATTTTTATATCATTTATCAACTTTATTATCGTTGTGACATTATTAGAAAATATGCAACGACTGAAACGAGTTAGTTGAACACAGCTCACCTAACATCACATGCCAATAACTTCATATTATGTTTATTATATGTTGGCAATAATTTACTTGTCAATCGTTAAAGCTAATGAGAATTTATTGCGTTTGTTCGAAGAAATTTGCATAAATTTCATGTTGTATGTAAGATATTAAAACATTAGACATTTTCTTCTCTCTCTCTTTCTCTTTCTCTCTTTCTCTTTCTCTCTTTATTCCTTAAATCTTCAGATAGACCAAAGGACATGCTTTGAACGTTTTATATAATAGCAACTGTTTTAGGTTTATCGTCAGTGTGCCACTAAATCCAGTAAAGCAACTTTACTTTAACTACTAGCAATAATTCTCAAAATAAATCTTACACAAAGACATTCTCTTTCCCGTATATGCATCAATATCAGCTGCATGTGGTCTTAGGTTTTATAATCAATTACTCCTACGTAGCAAGTTATTAGAAGTTTGAAAACAACAATCAAATTCAGTTCGGACCGAATCTTTTATACCCATCACCGTTTAACCCGGAAAAAGACAAAAGAATTAAAAGAACAAACCTCTCTGGCTCTATAATATGTATTGAGCGCAGTTGATTTCTTCTATTTTCAAAATAAAAGTTTTTGTCGTATAGACATGTGGGCAATGTAGGCGTGTCCTTTGAAAAGTTTACGTCAATTTCAAATTCTTTTGCAAATTTGAAAACCGCTAACGAGAAAATATTTATCAAAATTACTGCGAGGGTACGCAAATAGACAGACGGGCAGATGAACAGGCAGACATGTTTAGATCCATTCAAGATTTGAAACTGGCAAAGAATTTATATACTTTATGGGATTTTTGGAACTCGTCGCTGCGTATTGTAAAGGTATTGAAAAAATAATTAAATTTCGAGACACGATAATATTGGGTAGGTGTGGTCAATTTTTCTCATTTTTGTGCAAAAATATTACAGCATCGCCCCCCCATCAATATGCTTTAAAATTTTTGTACCTTATCTTTATGAGTAATGAGCAAAAAACTAGTTTTTCATTCCCTTTGAAAAGCAGAGATGTTGTCAGATTATGTGGTGCTGTGGGCGTGTCCTTCGACTAATTTCGTACACTTTCCAATGTTTCAGCTAAATTTGAAATCGATAGCTTCATTTTTGCCGCCAAGAGAATGTTTACGACAGACATTAAACAGACGGACAGACAAACATGCTTAAATCGATGTAGAATTTGTAGCTAATCAAGAATATATATGTAATTTGTGAGGTGTGTGATGCTGTTTTCTGGGCGTTGCAAACGTTTTGATAAAATGAATATACCCCTCATACTTCGGTGATAGGTATAAAAGAAATTCTTCCAATTTATATCACGTATATAGCCAGGTAAACAGTAGCTGGCAAAGTAATAAACATTTGCATCTCAATCAAGCGTGAACTTATATGTGTTTTGTATAAACACGGTAACGATATTAACGATTAACTGACTTTATGGCTGCTACTCGGTGATATGTCAATGTCTATCAGTTGCAAAAACCGCTGAATAATACCTATAATGCATAGATCGATTAAAAACGCCAAACACTTATGCATATAAATCTGTACATAGCTTCGCATTACCGTACGGATTGGTGCTTGTGCGACGATGTCAGTAGAGACGATGAAGGCATTCTTTCGATGATGACTGTATATGACTGAAATGCAACGCGTTTGCAATGAGGGCATTCGTAGATGTTCACACTTAAGTTGCTTAAATAGTTCGTGGGGTATTCGTTTTCGTGACACTTTTTTCATTCGACTAATATTTACATTTGTTGAAATACTTTTCCGAATTTCTTTGTTATTTTGTTTTTGCACTTCCGTTTTGCTTTTAACTTTTCCCTTCTTTACTGTCTTGCTGTTCGGACTTTACCGATATGTTTTGCAATGTGATCAGAAACACAGCCGTGTGCAAAAGCCCTATACAGGAGGATGAAACTAAAGTTCAGTAAAAAAGACAGACAAATAAAAAACTTTACCACCGCTTCCACTAATTTCCAACTATCTTGAATATCCGATTTTTCAGAGTATACGTTATGCCATGACAGTGCCAACGCATGCATTCATCCTAATTAGAAATAAACGTTGCATGCTGAACTCCATAATATATACCTTGTAGGTTATAAGCATTTTTCGTTTTTGCAGTTGTGAGGTGACTTAAAAATCTCTGCCTTGGAACAATATCGATATTGAGAACTTCGATGGGGACAATTGCTACGGAATATCAAATTTGATATCAAGTCAGTAAGAACTTTGACAAGAAAATCCATTAATTTCCCTAATGATTAATGACCGGTCACAACGCCAGAATACAGTTAAGTAACCTTTATGTTAATTATTCGTAGCATACTATTCTTACTGTGCTCTCTGGTTATTTGTTAAATAAATTAATAAATTTGACGTGAGGCAGTTGTGTCGCTATAACAATCATTTCCATTGTAAGTGTGCAGACAGACATTCAACATTGCGAATTGATCAGATTAAGCCATCTGTTACTTCTGATCGCTACTGACTTCAATAAATGAGTAACAAACTTTACAAAATGGAATGAAAAATTGGAATACAAGTTGAAAGAATGAATACAAGGTGAAAAATGTGCAATGTTTTAGGATAATTTTTAAAAAATTTAAATTTTTAAATTTTTTGATTACCGAGTTGAACTTATACAGCATTGTACTACACAGAAGCCCTATGTAGAAAAAGCGCAAACATTATTCGATGTAATTTATTGTAATTATCGCCACATGTGTAAGTGTCGTCCTCGGTCATCCCTCTTTTCATTTATAATAATACTCAGAAGCGCCCATCGTAGGCCTAATAACAAATATGTTTTATTTTGTGATTACATATACGATCAGTCACATTCGTTAGAATATTCCCAGTCATTTTGTCTTCTTTATTACTTGAGAATTACAGGCTCAGCTTATCGAATATACATGAAGACGTTCCCCAAGAGATAAAGCAAACCTTCAAATCTATAGTCGATACATTGATGAGAAAGTTGATGGGATATTCAAAAGCCTAAACCAACAATGGTTTCGTTCGATCAGTTGTTATGCTTACGATTAATGGCGGGATATTAAGAGTAAGCACCTAAGCTAGTATAGCTTTCTTGTTCGTTTTACAGCAAAAATTAAAGCTTGATCGCAAGATAACAGAGGAAGAATGATGAAAAAGACATTACACAGAGATGAGCTACCGTGAATGACTCTCGCGCTGGATGAAACGTATCACAATTTCATTTTATATATGTAATATTCAGAATGTATCGTATGTATATGGTATACGTACGTAATCTTGTTCAATGCAAGCATATTAGTCGTGTTCATACCCTCGGTAGCCACGTGTTAATTATGCGTTTTCTCAAGTATTGGCCTACTACACGATCAATTAGTCATATCTTTTTGGGAGGAAAATGAACGAATTCAATTACATTGATATATGTAAGTTCAACAAGATGATACTTTATACAAAAGATGCCCTTAATAAAGAAATAGTTTTATATTCATGACCTTGTAAATCCGATTCAGTTCAAATGTCAGCCTATTTATTCCTCTTCTGAATCATCCATCTATCCATCTATCCATCTTGAAGATACCTAGTAATTGAGATGTCAAAAACAAAAAAAAACAAAATAGTCAACCGATTTGTTTTGCCTGGACAAGATTGCGATTCATATCATGCGACGAGTATAGATTTCTTAGCTTTCTTAGTTGATTTAGTATGGGAATCGGATTACTTTCTTAAGAATCGTCTAGATTTTTGCCGCTCAACATTTAAAATTTTGCTATACTAACTTTCAATAAATATACAAGAATTTTTTATGCCTTGTTCTATGGTGACGGTCAACATATGGTTTAAATGCATTACACTAATAAATGCGTAAATCATTTTTCATATTGTGTACTTACGCAGCGTATACTTACGTATATTCATTTGGCCTGTTTAGTATTAAAGATTCCTATGCGTTTAACAATTATTTATAACAAAAATTAATAAAGTGGCAAAAGTGTAGCGAATATATTTAAGCAAAATATGATATCAAAAACAAAAACAATTTTCAAAAGCACAAAAATATTCACAAAAAGTGTATTGACCACTTATGATGAGAAAGAAACACAATCAAAAAAATTATTCGACACTAGAGGAAATGACAACGGAATGTACGTTCTCGTCTTTTAATTTCTTAAGACAATGAATCAACATACGGTTACGTCAAAGAAATGAATTGACCGCTTCGCACAGACAAATGGATTTATAAAATCTACATACATAAGAATGCGAAATTCAATGAATATATATATGAATATATATATATATATATATATGTATATACATTAATATAAAGCTCATAAGTGTGGGTTCTTTTTGACAGATCAACAAACTAGAAGCATAAAAAAAACCCTAAATAAAATATGTATAAATAATAAATATATGAAATAATGAAAAAGAAATATAATAATAATCTCGTCTTCAATCAACTAAAAAATTGTTGTGCTTTTGCTTCTCATAGATTCGCGTATTCTCTCAATTATTGAGATAACTTAATGGATGCGATCTTACTGTTTATTTACATAAATATTCTGAATCAACGCTTGTTATGATCGGCCATTAAATTTGCAAATTTTTGCCTAAAAATTCACCATTAAATGCACTTTCGACTTCAATATTAAATAATCAGATAAACAAAAATGTATTGCGTGAATTGATTGTTTACGACACGAAAGAAACACGTTTTCCGGCAAAAAGAAACAAAAAAAAAAATAAAATAAAAAATAAAAAAAAAAATCTTTGCTTTCTTTACCTAAAGACACTAAGATACCGCTTCTATGTTTTGCTTAGCTACACACATAGATCAGCCCAGTACTTTTGCTCAGTATTACGAAACTTAAGCTATTCAAATGTAGCCACTTTTCGCTCGTCTACTTTATTAATATTAAATTTTATTCACACTCTTAACTAAACTAACGTCCAAGCGCACGCACTGTTTTATAAGAACTGAAACTGATCAACTGATCAGTTAATATTTTCCAATATAAAAAAAAAAAAGAAAAAAAAAAGAACAAAAAATGAAAAACATAAAACCGTAAAGTTTTGTATCATGCATGCTGTCGCGCCTGGCTGTTGGACAACCGTACAACATGCAACTTGTTCGACATGAAACATTCTTAACGTGATCATCGCTTATGCCTAAATCGAGTAAGAGAGAAAAATGCTTCATTTCCGCTTTTTCATCAAACATCGTTTTTTTTTTTTTTTTTTCTTTCTTCATTTTGGGAGTATGTTTGTCAGAGAACGCCGGGGAGATATGGGGGTATGTATGTGTGAAGTATTTGAAGCGAGTGGTTGACATAGCAATGCTTTTGTTGATTCACATCAGATGATTTGCTTTCTTTGTTTGCAAGACGATCAACCGACGAACATGTTGCTCATACCGCTACATATGTTTTTGTTATTCCTTGTTCGTCCGAATAAAATGCATGTTAACCTTACAACGACGTTAATCAAGTCTAAATACGGTTGAAGGCTTTTAATATATATACGTTCCTTTGTAACATAAGCTCGAAAATGTTTATGTTTTTTAATTTTATTTTATATTTCATTTTTTCTTCATATATTGGTAATAAATGTTTAATGAACCGTTTTTTTTTTTTTTTTTTTGGTGGTTTTTTTTTAAAAAAACAAAAACCCACAAAAATATTTTTCATTTATAATAGGAAAATTTTTCTTTTATTAATTAAGGGTACTTTGCATTTATAATACTATAGTAGAGTAAACCATGCGAAAGCGTATCATTTTTATTTTACACTTCCGACAACTTACAGTACAGCCAGAAAAGCGTGGCATGCATACACTGTACAAAATTAAAATTTTCATTAATTGAATCATTTCGTATTTTATGCTTTCATTCATATATGTTTAATAAAATAAAACCTTTTTAACTGACCTTTTTGAAAATTGTCGTTTGGATTTAGGAAATGAAATTGCTTCGATTGTCATGATACGAGTACCATATAGGTTAATATACCAGTCAGATCAATTTCCTTTCACGGAGTCATAACGTGTTGGTGGTCTCTAGACAAACGCCACCTTTAACTGTTAGATGCTTTAATAACAACTCTTACGAAAACCCGATTGTCTGGACTGCTGTGGCCCCATTTACCTAGCAATCTAATCGTTTCCAATTCAAACCAACACTTGATGGTTTACCATTCTAGGTATCGCCTCACATTAGCTTGATCTGCTCCCGCGTGACAAAACCATACTAATGCGGTGTGGTCTTAAACATTCTACGATATTAGAAAGCGAACTCAAAATCAGAAATCTTATTGGCCAAAGGTGAAACCCGAACGATATACTATTTTATATAAAATGTAACGTTAATCTGCTTGCATTGTACATACGTGTTTTCAAGAAACCCTTCGGCCATAAATTGAAAGTGGCACTCATTTTTACTAATTGATACTTATACGAATATTAAAATGAATCTCAAAACCTTCATCTTAAACGTTAATTATGTGGAAAATCGTTTTTATCAAAATACTTAGCATTCTTCTTCTTCTTCTTCTCTTTCTTCTTTGTATCGTTTATTTTAAAAAGAACGAAACGTATTTTTCGAAACAACCTTTAAAACGTAGATGGCTATCATAATAGCTTTATATGCTCATGTCTTTGTCTCCAACCACCTAACAATTTCCATCAACACATTAACTAATTGCCAGCAAAATATTAATTAATGGCAACAAGAGCAAAAAAAAACAAACTCATCTAAATATAAAATATATAAAGAGAAAATCGATAGAGAAAAACCACTTTCATGGCACAAAATACAAAAAAAAAAAAAAATGCAAAAGCCTTAGTACAGCCATACTGAATCTAAGGTTCGGGAAAAATTCCTCAACAACCTCGAGTCATTTTAAGCATTGAATTTTTTTTTTTTTTTTTTTTTGTAATTTATTCTCCGTTATCATCGTTTCATCCTTGTATGCACATATCCGAATACAATCTTACTAATTGAATCCAAATAAAATTAAAAACAGATTAAGTACGGCTGCATTAAATGAACGATTTGCTTGTTTAGCGGGACACTATTGAATAAATTAACTCACATATATAATTAACTAATTTCTACTCAATATAAAATCTATAATTACTGATTTAAATCACACCATCAGACAGTCGTAAAAATATGGTTTCTTTAAAAGAAAAAAAAAAAGGAAAAAAGGATTAATAAAAAAAAAAAAAAAAAAAACGTTATCGTGATTCATGGGTGTAAAATAAAAAGTCTATGGCAAAAAATCTTAATAATTTTGTATTGCGTTCGAAAAGTGCTGCTTCCTGCATACGAGCAAAAGACTATTATTGCAGCCACTTATTAACTGTTACACCTGTGGTTGTGTTGTCTGTTATCGTTACATCTAGTTTTTTGTGTACGCTGTGGCAACTGTTTTCTATATATTTGTTTTTTTTTTTTTTTTTTTTTTTTTTTTTTTTTTTTTTTTAAAAACCCCAAAAAAAAAGGGGGTGCAAAATTTTTTTTATTTATTTTTTTTTTTTTTTTTTTTTTTCTTTTTATTATTATAGTATAGTACACACCACAAAAAGACGGGGTATACTAATTTTGTCATATTCATTTGTTATTTATTTATTTATTTATTTATTTAATTTTTTTTTTTTTTTTTTTTTGATTTCTATGACCAATCATTAAAGAATGTTTCCTTATACAAATAAATAATACGCGCCATAATGGTCAAAAGTGACGGGGCATGGGAAGGTGGTAGGGACGGTTAAGATCTGTGAGATGTATGCCAAATCAGTAAGAGATATGCTTTCATCGATCCAAGACTGATTATGATTGTCACCGCAGACAGGCCAAATCTAATTAAAGTTTAATTTACCGGTAATTGAATTCTGGTATATTAACTTGACGGTCCGGCTTCTTATCTTCTGCCTCGGCCCGTTAATTTATCCCACGTCACGAAACTGAAATCACAAAACAGTTCGGAGCTGGCGTACAGGTGAGACTTGAAAAGAGACAGTATCTTTCCAAATTTCTATTTCAAAAAAAAAGTATTAACATATAGCAGACATAAATTTTAATTTTATCGGAATTTTAATTTTATCTAAAAAGTCAAATTCAGACTCTGATCGGTTCATCGTAAGGCCCCTACAGTCACGAATAAACATTATATTGGTTTCAAATGGTGTTCGCCGCACCCTTGTCTCGGCATATATGAAAATAATTTTGTTTATTAATTCTTATAAAATAATTTCGATTAGGCGTTTACTGTTCATTCGTTAATTCGTTCAAATCAAATTTACTTGACAAGAAGCACGCACAAGAAATCTGAGGTGAATTTTCATCAATCTTCGTATAGCAAAATTCGTCGAATCTTTTATCATATCTGTTAAGAATGAATGACTAAAGTTATCTAAAAAATAGACCATATTTACCTCGTATCTAAAGACCGCTGCTGCTACTGCTATTATATTGCAAGTGTGGTATTACGTAGTAAGTAGTATATCAATGCAATTAGTTTTAAATGCAAAGATGATTTAAATAGTCTCGGTCTTGAGAGCGGAAGGGTATCCAGATCTCGTCATTTAGCATTTAGCTTTTTTTTTTTTTTTTTTTTTATTTAAAGATATATTTTACATGTGAACATTCTCTTGTAAATGTTATCGTAAATGATTTAGTGGCGTGTTATTTAACACCAGAAGAAACGAAATTTTTATTAAAACGTTTTATTATTATTTTGTAAAATTACATTTAGATTTTGAGAATTTAATTGGCTTAGTTACAAGTAGCTATAATCATATTTTGCTAAGCCATTAAGTTTTCTAATTGAGTTAAAAGAAAACAATTTCAAATTGTTTAAATAGCATAATATGTATGTTTGTAAAGACTAAATACCAGAAATGTTGAAATAGTTTTGTAATGTTTCAAAAATTTTGAACATGTTCGACGTCATGAGAACGTTTTCTTCAAGTAATATTATTGCAAATCAGCTTTAGCGCCGAAATGCAAAAACTATAAAAATATGCGATTGAAAGCATTTTTAAAATAGTTTGAAAATAGATGTGTAAGTGCATGTGAAACTGAAATTCGTGGATATCACGCCAAAAAGGAATTGTTACTCAGATTCAGACTCGCTGTCGAGGTGAATGGTACGCCTGAGTGCGGCGATTAATAATAGTTTTGAGATTGTTGGTAACCCTGATAAGATATATATAGAATGTAAGAAAGTTGGTAAGCTTGCACAATGTTGGCATACCTGTAAAACTAACTAATAAATTTGTGGAGCAAAAATGCGAGTTCCTCACTGAAAATAAGTTGCGGTCAGTTATATCTTTGTTACGGAATATTTTTATTATTGTGAGCGTTAGTTGGGTTACTAGCTTTGATTAAGAAAGGATTAACGACATAACCAAGGCTTTCTTTTGTATTGCCCAGTCAAGGGAAAAATGCTATCATCGAATGCTCTCTTATTTGGCAAAACTTGATATCCGGACTATACCAATGACTTGGATTGGGGTACACGAAATATCTAACCAGTTCAGAGGAATTCGAGTAATACTTCTCGAATGCAACTTAACCAAATCCTCATTAAGAATAAGGAAATTTAATTTCATTTGTAGGTTACCCTAGTCCTTTTTTTTTTGTGATCTTTTCCTCTAATGAATATGAATCCAAGGTTAAAAAAGGCTATTATAACCCAAAAAAAAAGCGCAAAAAATCATCACTTATGTACATATACGTTCCCCAAGTATTTTCCAAAGATCTGGATTTTAAAAGACAAGTTTTGTGATATTTCACTTTCTAAACACAAAAAAGAATATATGCCAAAATATTTCTTCAGAAATTTAATCGCAGAGAAAGATCATATTCTGGAAAACAACGCTTGACGTCTTCTGTTTATAGAAGACTCTAAAATCGACGACTTATCCTATGGCTA